TCTCTCGGTATTGTTTCATGATGAGGCTCAGAGTTAAAAAAATTAGCGTCTTTATAATCACAACATATTTGAATTTGGGACAATGCCACTAAAATGTGACATAAAATTTCTTTTCTCTTTTTTGCATATGGTCAATTAGTTATTAATTGCACTATAACTGGGGCATGAACACTTGACGCTAGGAAAAGTTACCCAGTCGGAAAGGGGCTTGGGAAAGTAATTTAATGTGATATTGCGCAGTGAAAGCAAAGTCTTTGATAAAAGTAGGATATTATTCCCTGAGCCTAAACTGATAAAGCTTTTATAGAAGTGGGTTCATCTTGTTTTCGCAACTTGGTCTTGCTGTCGGGGGGACTTAGTATAGCGCATCTAGTCCGAAGTCGTCAGCCATAGTAGTTATCATAATTCCCAGCATCAGACCGTGGACTTGGTATATTTGCAGAAGTTTGGCCAGCATCGTAGTCAGCATCATCCATGAGTGTTACCATTCTCCACACCAAGCTACGAACTCGTCAAAGGGAAAAGTAAAGGGTAAGGACTAGGAAGATGGGCCAGGACAGGAAGAGGAGTGATAGCGCAACGGTTTTAGCAGAAAAATGATCAAGGCATCGACTTCACTTGTATCTGACGAATTCGTAGCTTGGTGCGGAGAATGGCAACACTCACTGATGATGCCGACTACGATGCCGGTGAAACGTCTGAAAATGTAGAAATTCCACGGTCTGATGCAGGGAATTATAATGACTGCTATGACAGAAGACTTTGGACAAGGTGCGTTCCACTAAGTCGCCCTGACAACAAGAGCAAGTTGCGAAAACGAGGTCAACCAACTTCTATAAATCGAAAGGTGACTGCGATTATACCGGGGGCTGCACCATCTTGGTCTACATATCTTTGTTCAATCTTTTGTTGAGAGTGGTACTAACCGTAAAGCTATCACAAAATAATTTCATTTGAGTAACTATAATCTTTAAATTGCGCCAATGGTGAACTGATACTACAAAATCCATTCGTAATTTGCATCAGGGCTATCAAAAAATGTGTAACAACCCTGTGAAACATGCATATGCCTTACTAAAATGATTAAAATGTAATTCCACTATATGATATAGGAGAGTCAAATATCAACCCAAGAATTAATGATAGGTGATATTTATTCTACTTAATTAAAAATAAGTAACGTCGTATATCACAATGGCAAACATGTGTTTGCTTAGTTCACAATCTCACCATAACTGTGATTTGGACGAGGCATGTGTTGCCTTGATTGCGAAATCTGCCCTGTGACCCAGTGACAGGGCGGGAATGGAGTGGTAACGCATCCATGATATTGACGACCAGATCTCGAATCCTGTTGAGGTTGCTAAGAGGTCCAAGCGAGTTCAGATATGCCTGGATGGGATAGCCTTTTGGGAGGCAAGGTTAAGTGGAATCCAAGGGCATCATGCACTCTACACATTTAACTGTGGGAAAACTCAACTAGCCGTCTTTAAATCACCTTCAGCACCTAGGCTGACAAATTTCGTATTATAGGATTATTGAGAGTCTCGAAAACGACTTATTTCGAAGATAAGACAAAGTAAGTTTATCCCATGCACCTTGAGTATAAAATTTCTCTCTGATCTTCTATTTAACCCCATTAAAAAAGCAGGCTATGAAACAAGGCTATTAACTTGCTGTGCTTTATAAGTCTTTGTCGCCAGATAATCCTGGCTGTAACTTCATTTAGTAGTCCTTTAGTTCCATTAACAAATGCACTGCAAGATCACGTTGTCTAGATTATTACAAAATAGAAAAGTACCCTTTCTTGAACAATCCCTGTCTATGATGCTAATTATGGGTACAATGCCAGCAAGGAAGACTTAGTTGGACGCACCTTGTCCGAAGTCTTCTGCCATAGTGGTTATCATAATTCACAACGTTAGACCATAGACTTGGCATATTCTCAGACGTTTCGCCGGCATCGTAGTCGGCATCTTCAGCGAGTCTTGTCAGTCTCAGCACCAAGCTACAACTAGTCAAAGAGACAAGTGGAGTCGATCACTTGACCAACTTTCTGCCGAAACGGTTGTGCTATCATTCGTCTTTCTGTTCTGGCCCATCTATCTAGTCCTTACCCTTTTGTTCTAATCCCGCCCTATCACAACAAGAACAAGTTGCGAAACGAGGTCAACCCATATATATATATATCGAAAGGAGTCTGCGACCATAGCAGGGGTCACACAATCTTGATTTTTATAGCTTCGATTAAACTGAAAGTAAGTTATACAGTAAGATTACAAAAATTCTAAATACTAAAAGACTTAGATTATATGCTGAAAATAGTTAAGAAGTTGTTATCCTTCTGAATTTTGTTTTTTGCTGTTTAATTTTGGCCTTGAACCCTATCAAGCACTCAAGGACTAGACAAGACAATGCAAGCCTTACTTAATATGTGGCGAGATACACACGAAAGGATCTTCTCTTCAGTTTATTAAAGTTGATTTAAATGTCAAAATTACAAACAACTATAAATCGGCGCTTATTTTACTTTTAATCCACTAGTAATTAGTGATGGCAGCAGACTACTGTTATTTCCTTTTAAGTAAGAGTAGTTAATTTAGTATCAAATATTAGTTAAGTTTATATTTTACCATGAATGCTAAACGAATTGCTTATCACATGTTCAAGCGGCTGATTGGGCGTCAAGATGTGTAAATAAAAAATGAATAAGTTATGAAACCATTAGTAGGCTTTGTGTAGAAGCTTGTGTCTCGTAGGGTGATTAAAGGACGGATAATTGAGTTTCACGAGATGGACAGATTGTAAGAATCAACGGAGCCATATAATTTTTAAATGGAGGGAATTGTAAAGTATTGTAGATATGAAAACACAGATGGCGTGGCCTCTTGTTTTGTCGCCGTCTCTTTTTTCTAAACAGAGTTGGCTTAACTACGTTTTCTCAAGTTGGTCGGGGCAACAGGGAGACCTTGGGGAACGTACCCATTCCTGCGTCCTCTGCCATAGTATTCATGAAGATTTACAGCATCGGACCATTGACTTGCGACATACCCAGACGTTTTGCCGGCATCGTCAGTGAGAGGCACCATAGTTAGCATAGAGTCACAGCTATTTTGCCCTATCTTCTAGTCATGCATCCCTCTCTCTTTCTCTCTCTCTCGGCCCCACTTCATAGGGTACATTTACCTATTCACACCATTCTGTGTTATCGCTACATCCAATTTTGACTAAGAGTGTGCCGCTTCAGTGGATTAAGTGAAGCATAATCGCCTTCAGATGCCGTTAGCAGGGTTTAGACCGAATAACGGTGGTAAGAGCGCCAGACAACGCGTTGACTACAGCAGATCAAAGAAGATATTCATAAGACCCCTGCAAAAATTAGGGGAGACATGATAGGAAGAATAAAAAAGTAATGAAGCTTTTAGATATTATGTCTCATTTAGCTTTATAGTGTTGGTTAGACCTCGTTTTCGCAACTTGGTCGGAGCGTCAGCGAGACCTTGTGCAACGTACCCAGTCCTGCCTCCTTTAGCATAGGATTAGTGATTTCCAGCATCGGACCATTGACTTGGTATATTCACAAACGTTTCGCCGACATCGTAGTCGACATCGTCAGCGCGAAATGCCCTCATCAACGCAGAGTTACAACGTATTAAAGTGACAAATGAAGGCAATCCTCCTGGCCAATTTTCCATTCAACCGTTGTGGCATCATTCCTCGCCCTTATTTTTTGTCCTACCTCTAGTGCTGTATCTCTTTTTCCCCACCACACTTCATATGGCCCATTCACCTATTCACGTAATTCTGTGCTCTCGCTTTATCCGATATCGTTTAAGGGTGTGTCGCTACAAATGGGCTTAGTGAAGCCTAATCATCTTCACTACCGATACCAGATGTCATTTGCAGGGCTCCTGATGTTCATTCAGCTCATCTGCTCCTACCTTGCATGGTAATTGGTCCCTGCTAAACATGAAAATCGCTTTCTGACTGTCCGAAATATTTGTTGAGCTTACTTCCGTTTCGAGTGAGTGTTGGGTGAAGAGATTCGAAGGTCGGTTCCACCAGAAGACGACGGCGGATTTCTCTTGACCAGCTGTCGATTCGCTTTACTGAAGGATTCATGCTGACACTGTTTGCGAGGCAATCTCCTTCGATTCCGGTGAAAAGGTGCTAAGCTTTCGTCCGTCATATGACGGAAAGTTTTGTTTTTATTGGCTTTTTTTTGAATCACAAATTTCTTTTTTTAAAAGTTATACTTTTGGTTGGTTGATTGTTTTTTCTAATTGTGTGGTTATGGGTCTCTGTTGTGTGGTTGGGGTAGCAACACCAAGTATTTTTTGTTTGGTGCGGTTCATGCTGCGTTTAGTAGTGTTACATTTGAAGGTGTTTTGATGTGTTTAGTTGTGTTGGCGGGGTTGTTGGTTTGTATATATGGTATTAGTACTTATAGGCTGGATTTTAGTTTTAAAATATTGGGGCTATGGTTGCTTATCCAATAATCTTGGCTTCGGTTTTATGCGACTGTTAGCGGTCACCTTTTGATTTTTCTGAGGCTGAAAGTGATTTGGTTAGTGGATTTAAAACTGATTATTATGGGTTATCTTTTGCTATCATATTTGCTTGTGAATATGCAATAATGGTTTTTGTGGGTGGTTTGTTTCAGTTTTTTTTGAGGCGTAGGCCTTGAGATATGATATTTTTTATACATACTTTTTTTTGATTTTTGTTCGTGCTGTTTTTCCGCGTATTCGTTATGATTATTTTGTTTCATTGACGTGAAAAATTGTATTATTGCTTATGTTGTTGTTGGTTGTTTCTGGGCTTAGTTTTGTTTATATAGATTAAATTTATATTGTTAGGCTGATAACCCTAAGGTGATATGTTGATTATCTATAAGCGTTTGTGTTTTGCTTGTCTGATTGTAGTTAAAAAATAACGTGTGTTTTGGGGATGTAAGTTTCATATGACGGACGAAAGCTTAGCACCTTATCACCAAAATCGAAGGAGATTGCCTCGAAAACAGCGTCAGCATGAATCTTTCAGTAAAGCCAATCGACAGCTGGTCAAGAGGAATCCGCCTTCGTCTTTTGGTT